CCGGCCTCCTCCTCCCCCCTTTATATACGGGGGCAGGGGCACCCCAAAGGACACCAAGATTTCTCTTAGCCATGTGCGGTGCCCCCCTCCACAGTTTAGTCCTCCGGTCATAGTGTCGTAGTGCTTAGGCAAAGCCCTGCGCGGATCACATCACCATCACCGTCACCACGCCATTGTGCTGACGGAACTGTCCCTTGACCCTCTACTAGATCAATAGCACGAGGGACGTCATCGAGCTGAACGTGCGTTGAACACGGAGGTGACGTACATTTGGTACTTGGATCAGTTGGATCAATTGCATTAACCTAACGCTTCCGCTTTCGGTCTACGAAGGTACGTGGACACACTCTCCCCATCTCGTTGCTATGAATATCCTAGATAGATCTTGCGTGATCGTAGGAATTTTTTTGAAATTGTGATACGTCTCCAACGTATCTATAATTTTTGATTGCTCCATGCTATATTATCTTCTGTTTTGGACATTATTGGGCTTTATTATCCACTTTTATATTATTTTTGGGACTAATCTATTAACCGGAGGCCCAGCCCAGAATTGTTGTTTTTTGCCTATTTTAGGGTTTCGAAGAAAAGGAATATCAAACGGAGTCCAAACGGAATGAAACCTTCGGGAACATGATTTTTGGAACGAATAAGATCCAGGAGACTTGGACCCTACGTCAAGCAACCAACAGGGAGGCCACGAGGTAGGGGGGCACGCCTACCCCCCCCAGGCGCGCCCTCCACCCTCGTGGTCCCCCTGTTGCTCCACCAACATACTCCTTCCTCCTATATATACCTACGTACCCCCAAACGATCAGATACAGAACCAAAACCCTAATTCCACCGCCGTGACTTTCTGTATCCACGAGATCCCATCTTGGGGCCTGTTCCGGAGCTCTGCCAGAGGGGGCATCGATCACGGAGGGCTTCTACATCAACACCATAGCCTCTCCGATGAAGTGTGAGTAGTTTACCTTAGACCTTCGGGAACATAGTTATTAGCTAGATGGCTTCTTCTCTCCTTTTGGATCTCAATACAAAGTTCTCCCCCTCTCTTGTGGAGATCTATTCTATGTAATCTTCTTTTGTGGTGTGTTTGTTGAGACCGATGAATTGTGGGTTTATGATCAAGTTTATCTATGAACAATATTTCAATCTTCTTTGAATTCTTTTATGTATGATTGGTTATCTTTGCAAGTCTCTTCGAATTATCAGTTTGGTTTGGCCTACTAGATTGATCTTTCTTGCAATGGGGGAAGTGCTTAGCTTTGGGTTCAATCTTGCGGTGTCCTTTCCCAGTGACAGTAGGGGCAGCAAGGCACGTATTGTATTGTTGCCATCGAGGATAACAAGATGGGGTTTTCATACATTGCATGAGTTTATCCCTCTACATCATGTCATCTTGCTTAAGGCGTTATTCTGTTCTTATGAACTTAATACTCTACATGAATGCTGGATAGTGGTCGATGTGTGGAGTAATAGCAGTAGATGCAGGCATGAGTCGGTCTACTTGTCTCGGACGTGATGCCTATATACATGATCATACCTAGATATTCTCATAACTATGCTCAATTATGTCAATTGTCCAACAGTAATTTGTTCACCCACCGTAAAATACCTATGCTCTTGAGAGAAGCCACTAGTGAAACCTATGGCCCCCGGGTCTATCTTCATCATATTAAATCTTCCAATACTTAGTTATTTTCATTGCTTTTATTTTACTTTGCATCTTTATCATAAAAATACCAAAAATATTATCTTATCATATCTATCAGATCCCACTCTCGTAAGTGACCGTGTAGGGATTGACAACCCCTTATCGCGTTAGTTGCGAGGATTTATTTGTTTTGTGTAGGTGCGAGGGACTCGCGCGTAGCCTCCTACTGGATTGATACCTTGGTTCTCAAAAAATGAGGGAAATATTTACGCTACTTTGCTGCACCACCCTTTCCTCTTCAAGGGAAAACCAACGCAAGTGCTCAAGAGGTAGCAAGAAGGATTTCTGGCGCCGTTGCCGGGGAGGACTACGCGAAAGTCAACATACCAAGTACCCATCACAAACCCTTATCTCTCGCATTACATTATTTGCCATTTGCCTCTCGTTTTCCTCTCCCCCACTTCACCCTTGCCGTTTTATCCGCCCTTCCTTTTTCTTGCTCGCCTTTCTTCCTCCATGTCTGAATCAAAAAGGGTTGGGGGTTCTCTCCCGAGTTTTAGTACTTTGGACAACCCTTCTATTCTCGTTAAGCTTATAAATAAGGATACTATGGAAAAACCTACCGGAGTTATCAATGAGAATCTTAATAATTTTGACGAAGATGATTCCAGAATTTTTCATTATTTACTTGATGATTCTTTGAAAGATGCTTGGTATAGACTATGAAGGATTAGGGCTAGCTATGTGCCTCAATACCAAATTGAAATTTACTTAAAAAGCTTTTATATTGCCCTTCCTTCTTCTTTTAAGCATGTCTTAGATTCTATATTTGAAGAAGGCTTTCTTGAAGGGGATGCCGTAGACACTTATGAGAAGATGAAAACCATATTTGGGCACCCCATGAATGAGAAAGTTGAATCTACATCTCTTTTGCTCTCTTACCAAAATGAATCTATCAAAGAGATGAAGTCTAGCTTAGATACAAATTTCCATAACATACTTAATCTTTCTTCTACCATTAATAGACATGTGCTTTATCAAAATAGAAAGATTAATTTCATAGATAGCAAGTTTGCTCTTTTTTTCCCTAAAACCAAAGATGGCAATACCTAGATCTATCCTTGCTTTTTATGCCTAGCTAGGGGCGTTAAACGATAGCGCTTGTTGGGAGGCAACCCAATTTTATTTTAATTCCTTGATTTTTGCTCCTGCTTAGTAATAAATAATTTATCTAGCCTCTGTTTTGGTTGTGTTTTTTATGTTTAATTAGTGTTTATGCCAAGTAGAACCGTTGGGAAGACTTGGGGAAAGTCTTGTTAATCATGTTGTAAAAAACAGAAACTTTAGCGCTCACGAGAACTGCTTCCATTTTTATTTGGAAAGTGTTATTTAGTTAATTCTTTTTTCATATGATTAATAGATGAATTCCCCACGTCCAGCAATTTATTTTAGAATTTTTGGGGTTCCAGATCTTGCGCTAGCTACAGATTACTACAGAATGTTCTATTTTTGACAGATTCTGTTTTTCGTGTGTTGTTTGCTTATTTTGATGAATCTACGGCTAGTAAAATAGTTTATAAACCATATAGAAGTTGGGATACATTAGGTTTAACACCAATATAAATAAAAAATGAGTTCATTACAGTACCTTGAAGTGGTCTTTTGTTTTCTTTCGCTAACAGAGCTCACGAGATTTTCTACTTTAAGTTTTGTGTCGTGAAGTTTTTAAGTTTTGGGTAAAGATTTGACTTCTGCTCGAGAAGACCCAGATGAGGCAGGTTATCATTGTTTCGGAGAACCGGATGATCTTGCGATCATGGATATCTTGGACCGGGATGATGGGAGATCAACATCATTCTTTTTTGGTGAGAGAATATCAACACTCTTTTTTTAGAGTAAATTGCTCAAAACCACCAGGCTAGGGTAACATATTACCACTGCCTTTGCCAAAAACCACAAAAAACCATCAACTTTGCGGCAAGTGAATAACAAATCGCACTAATTCAAAGTTGAGTCATGTCTAACATCAAAACCGACGGGAAGGACCCGTATGTTTGGGCTGATGTGGTGAAGACCTGCTGAGGTGCACGAGGGTCCCACTTGTTTGTCTCACACCTCCTTCTTCCTCCTCAAATTTCTCACTCTCTCACTACCCTTCTCACCAGCTCCACCGGTGGCTGGAGGCCGAGCTCAAGGAGGCACACCGCCAACAAGCCTGCCTTGTAGCCTCGTCGGCTCGCGCTCGACGGCAAGCCCCGCCCCATGCCCGCCTCGCCCCGCTACTGAGCGCTCTCCTTGCGGCGTCGCCGCCTCCCTTCCAATGAGGCGAGTCGCTGCCCCGTCATCGCTGTGGAGGTCAGGATCGTCCAGCCCACCGCCAACCGGACTTTCGGCTGCAACGCCACTGCCTCCGGCCGCCATTGACCGTGGAGGAATTAGAAAAAATGGGTGAAAATAGTGAGGGGCTGACTGGGGGGCTCATCTTCCACCTCAGCATATTGTCCATGTAGGCATGCCAAATTAGCTTGACATGTGGGTCCCACCCATCAGTTCCATTGTTAGACGCGGCTCAGTTTCGAATTAGTGCGATTTGTTACTCACTTGCCACAGAGTTGGTGGTTTTTTTGGTTTTCGGCAAAAATGGTGGTAATCCGTTAACCCTAGCCATGAATGTGGTGGTTTTGAGCAATTTACTCGTTTTTGGACTTGTTGTATGTGTGCGTCTTGTTACGGAGGACAGACATTTGTTCATTGTGGTTGTATCATCTCGATATAATGTTCTCTCTCCGTTCCTAAATATAAGTCTTTTTAGGCATTCCATATAGACTACATACGGAGTAAAATGAGTGAATATACACTTTACAATATGTCTATATACATTCATATGTAGTCCCATTGAAATCTATAGAGAGACTTGTATTTAGAAACGGAGGCAGTATGAATGAAGATACCCTTTGTAAAAAAAATAGACTTGCTTTTTTTGGGAAAAAAAAGACTTTGCCGACCTGGTGCATCTGGCATCTGGTCATGGAGGCCCAAGCCCATGCGTAATCTCCCCGGAGGGTTGAGGTCGAATCGAAACCGACGACCGGAACAGCAAACCTGAATCAAAGTCGTAGTCGTCGTCCCTTCTCCCTCCCGACTGGACTCCTTCTCGGACGCCAAACGGAAAAGGCACAGTTCATGTGCATCCCCAATAAGATCATATACCCCAAGCCGCACCGCATAAACAGCAGGATTTTTTTAGCTAATTAGCTGGTTCTATCATCAGGAATAGGCAATTTTGCAAGAACGAAGGAGCACATCAATGTCCAACATCAACCGGTCGCATCCGGCTCTCCCGATGGCGACCTTCCAGCCCAAGGGTAACCAACCAATCAGCCGAGTTCGTCTTGCTTCCTGTGATTCGCGGTTCCGATCTTGTTCAGCAGCCAATGCGTGCTAACTCTGTGTCGATCGTGTGGGTACGTGTTGCTCTCCTCAGGTTTTGCGCCGACGCCGGCGCCGTCGCCATTGGAGCAATGGACGAAGCGGTTCCAGGAGGCCGAGAGGCTGGTGGACGAGGTGATGGGGAACATCGCCGAGAGGGCGTCCGTCCCAGCGTCGCTGCCGCTAGAGCTGAAGCGCCGGACCGGCGAGATCCGGCGGAAGGTGGCCATCCTCGAGACCCGGCTGAGCCTCATGAGGGAGGACCTCGACCGACTCCCCAACAGGCATCTACTCATATTATTACTCCTCCTACTATAGAAAATCCTAACAATAATGCACAGAAATAACTCGATGTATTTGGTGCATAACACTAATCGATTTGCATTGCAGAAACGTGAAGGAGATGCGCAAGCTGGCGGAGAAGTTCGACGCTCTGGAGCTGAAGGTGAAGGAGGTGGCCGCGCCGTTCACCATGAAGAAGCACTCATCCAACAGGTGAATGAATTAATTTCTGAACTCTGGACCTGTCCGACTGACGCTGAAACAATATGTCTGCCAAGTTTCAACGACCAGTCTGAACTCTTTTCTGAACTCAATTTATGACCCCGAAAACGTGCCTGACTGACGCTGAAACAACCTGTCTGTGTTCCCACTTTCTGAACCTTCAGGAACGAGCTGCTTGGACCGAGCGACGACAGGTGCACGGTGGTGGACATAAAGAGCACGGCCAACATGGAGAATCAAGAGATTGTCCAGCTGCAGAGGAACATCATGAAAGGTACGCTTCGTTGGTTACTCCATCCATTGCCGTGCATCAACATATGTTTTGCAATGCTGCGTATATACTCAACTAAACAAACTCATGATGAACTAAACTTTGCATGATGATGCAGAGCAAGATGAGTGTCTAGACAGGCTGGAGGAGACCATAGTCAGCACCAAGCACATCGCGCTGGCGATCAACGAGGAGCTGGACCTGCACGTCAGGCTAATTGTAAGCATGGTCTTCTTGCCAGCTATCTGTTTTGGTTCCTGAAATTCCGGTGTCAATTTGTCCTTTCAAGTACACGAGTTCTTATTTTCTGAAACCATTATACATGATCGTTGCTGCAGGATGATCTGGACGAGAGGGTGGAGGACACGAGCAACCAGCTGCAGGTACCTCATTCCCTCCCATCATAGATATCCCAAATGATAATTACTACATCAAGATCGATAGCTTTCTAGTCTGCTAGATGTATGTATGTGCGCCACTAACATCCATGTCCTTGTGTCATGTTCGTCTACAGCGCGCGCAGAAGAAGCTCAAATCACTCAACACACGGATGCGGAAAAGCGGGTCATGCACGGGCATCCTCGTGTCGATCATCGCAGGTGTGATCTTCGTCGCCGTGGTCTGGGCTCTCATCAAGTTCTAGCGGCAGAAATGTCCGGATATAGAAGTTGCATTGTATATGTAGGGGAAGAAATCGTGAATGTACAGTCCTTTTCTAGTCTACTACTCTTATAGGAGTAGTAGGTAGCTCAAGTGCCAATCTGATCCGTGTATTGTCCTGCAACTCCCGGTCCCGGATGACTTGTGAAATTTCCTTAAGTTTGTCTGTGCCAATGCACAAGAATACTAGACATACGAGCGATTTAACCATGGACTGAATTTACAGACATACGTGACCTCCTCCCCACTAACCCTATCCCTGAATTTCACTGTGGGCGTGTTGTGCTACTCGCCAATGCGCCGTTCGTGCGTGCGCTGCGCGGCGGGTTCACGTAGTAGTGGTTTAAGGTTCAGAGTTAACTGAACTAGTAAAGAACATAAATGGGTTTCAGACAAGAAAGTAGCTGATTTGACACGAAGTTTCTAGGGTTCTTAGCCACCACTCTCAGATGCACATAAAGGGGGGCAGCCGGAACACGGCAGCTAGGGTTTTACCCAATACCAGAGATATGGGGTATGTTTGGATGGCAGCCGAGAGCTACCATGCCAATATTTTGGCGTTGACCATCAGCTTGGGAAGGCGTTTGGATTGGTGCCAGCCTCTTCTTACCTTGCCAAATTTTTGGTCGCTAGTACACATCCCTTTCACTTTTTACGCCCATGCGTTGGCATGGCAGAGGCGGCAGAATTCTCCACCAAAAAATTGGCAAGCCCTCAGTTGGCAGGGCAGCCCTGGGCACTAACCAAACAGCCCCATGGTCTCTACGTGCCCAAATGCTTGGCCTTATAGCCATTACAGAATCAGCAAAAGGCGTAAAGTAAACAGTGCACATTTGTCGGAATTCAAACAGCGACCCATGGGCTAGCGAAGACCGTTGGATCTGGAATCAACGTCGAAAACATCATCTGCTCAGTGCGAGGCTGCGTAGACGGTTGGATGGAAGATCAAAGGTCGAGCTTGATTACGGCAAAGGCGGAGCGGTACTCCGATAACTGAAGAAATCGACACTGCAGGAATCAGTTTTCAGAGGTCCTGACAAGTCGTTACCTGGACGCGCGTACCAAAACCTGGAGCTCTGCCCTGACTCTCAGTCCACTGACTGTAGCATCGCTTGCAGTTTCATAATCAAATTAGGTGGTAAGCGTACGTCGCACCATTACTATATATGGCGTGGTTCCGGACAAAACATATACTCTACGTATCTCTGTCAGTGGACGATTGTCGCGCACTCACATGGGCGCCGCGCCTATGTAGCCGTTTCTTGCCGCAAAACATGCACTGACATTATTGATTATTCCCTCGTCGTGTAAACACACGGTCACAAACGCACATATGTCATACCTGACCTCAGTCTTCAAGGCAACTATCACATGGGTACAATGCACCACCGTACGTGCAATTAGGTCTTGCACCGTTTTCGCCACCGTACAATGCACCTCCTATGATTTGGAAGCCTATACAAACATTGCATGCCGTTTTGCCATGTACTCCCTCCGTCCCTCCCGGATTAGTTGTGTTTTAGTGTCAGATGCATCCATATTTAGACAAATCTATAACAGTTAACTTGGGACGGAGGTAAAACTACATTTGTACCAAATCTACTACCATGACATGCCCTGCAAAAACCACCTCGATCACCACAACCAAGACGAGAGCTGTCATCATCATTTCTATAACGTTTCCAAGAAGAGCACTATGGTTGGGCATTTTGGCTCCGTCCCCATGGATCACAGCGGGCAACCAGACTGATGCCTTGATCGACCCACAAGCAAGCTCCAGTTTGTAATTTGTAAAGATGAACCAGTTTGGCCCTTGGAAACCGCAGTGGAGCCGAAGAAGAAAACACAAGACCCCTGATTTGCCGGCTACTTGCGCGTACGGCTGCACCCACTACTGGCTAATCCCAATGCCAATGCCCCAAAATCTTGGCCGTGTTTCTAGCCAGCCTCCACATGCCTATCTATCTATCAGTGACTGATTTGATTAGTGAAAGTAGCACCACGCTGCCGAACTGTCCCTTTGCTGACCAGAGTAACTAGCTAGCCAGCGCGCTCCTTGGCACGATCTGCTCCCTATAAATTTGACCGCGCCGTGCAGATTTTGACGCAGCGGTCTCGGTTCGTCTACCTAGCTAGCTAGCTACTGTAATTGACAGTGGTCATGGCGTTGCTCGTGGTGGTTGGCGCCGCGGTTGTCGCAATGTGGCTACTGGCCGGTGAGGCGCGAGGCCAGGCGCAGCTCCAGGTAGGGTTCTACGCGCACTCGTGCCCCCAGGCGGAGGTGATCGTGAGGGACGAGGTCGGCAGGGCCGTCAGCGCCTACCCCGGCTTCGCCGCCGGCCTCGTCCGCCTCCACTTCCACGACTGCTTCGTCAAGGTTTGCACTTAGCTGTGTATCGACTAGCCAGTATGAAATGCAGGTTGCAATGCAGGCGTGCGCTCCATTGAAAATGTCAGTGATGTACTGACGAGCTGTTGACTATGGTTCGTGTCAGGGCTGCGACGCGTCAGTGCTGCTGGACTCGACGGCCAACAGCACGGCGGAGAAGGACGCCCCGCCCAACAAGAGCCTGAGGGGCTTCGAGGTCATCGACGCCGCCAAGAAGCGCCTCGAGGCCGCGTGCGCCGGGACCGTCTCATGCGCCGACATACTCGCCTTCGCCGCACGAGACAGCGTCGTCCTGGTACGTACGGTGACAGGGCTCACATTGCTGCCAGCCTTTTTTGAGCTCTTGCTCACACACCGTCAATGGCGACAATGGCAGGCCGGCGGTAGCCCGTACGGCGTCCCGGCCGGGCGGAGGGACGGCAACGTGTCGGCGGCGTCCGACGCGCAGGCGAGCCTGCCCCCACCCACGGCGAACGTGGCCCATCTCACGGAAGCCTTCGGTAAGAATGGGCTCTCCCAGGAGGACATGGTCACGCTTTCAGGTACCTAGCAGCCCACTCAAACACCCACAGCCCAGCTCACATCGACAGCTTCGGGCGGCCAGTGACGTTTTTTTTTTTACTCTCTGCGTTTCTCATTTGTATGCGTTCAGGCGCGCACACGATCGGCGTGACGCACTGCAGCTCCTTCAGCGCGCGGGTGCACGGGTACAACGCCACCACGGGCACGGGCCAGGACCCGGCCATGGACGCGGCCAAGGCGGCGGAGCTGGCGCGGCAGTGCCCGCCGGGGAGCCCCAACGCAGTGCCCATGGACGCCGGCAGCCCCGACACGTTCGACACGGGCTACTTCCGCGCCCTGCTGGCCAACCAGGGCGTCCTCGCCTCCGACCAGACGCTCACCTCCGACAACGCCACGGCCGCGCTCGTGGCGCAGAACGCCGGCAACGTCTACCTGTTCGTGACCAGGTTCGGCGACGCCATGGTGAGGATGGGCGGCATCCGGGTGCTCACCGGCGGCGACGGCCAGATACGCACCAACTGCAGGGTCGTAAACTGATACACACTTGTTGCACCCTATCTTATTCGCTTACACTTTACGTCACTCTGAATCCGTGGTATCTTCTTGGCCGGTTTTGCAAAATGCAATGGAGTTATATATGCATCGACTGAATTTTGGACACGTACATTGCGTTGCGCGTGAGAGATGTGTGGTGTGGTGTGCGAGATCTCCCTTTCTCACCTGATAGGAAAGAGCTTCCAAAAACTGTGCTGCGAGCTTTTGGCAAAGCGTACGCCTGCTTTAGTTATTCGGGTGATGCGTGACGCATGGATCGGCCACACTGTAGACGTGCTTTTGTCATGTGTCGAGCAACCCTGGGTGCCTACCTAACAGCCTGGGTTACCCTGATTAGAAAACAAGAAGAAACCTAACAACAACCCGGGCAAAGATTCACCAGGTTTAGTGTTTGCTGAACCGGACAAGCAAGTTGGTAACAACAACAATACTCTAGTTTGAGTTTCTTTCTGGTGTCCAAAAAAAAAAATTTTGAGTTTGTCCTCTTAATTATTAGAGCTGGAAACGGCCACGATGGAAGCAAAGCAATCAATCAATCATCCTTTGTAACGGAGCCGGCAAAGTAGGGATGAGCACAAGACGGGGCTAAGAAAGAAGCTGCTGGATGGATGGAGCCAGTTCTCGCTTTTTTTCAGGAAAGATTATCAACTATCCACTCATGAGGCTAGCATTTCTTATTGCCAGGAGGAGACTCGTTGCATGTTGTAGTCGCCTCCTTGGTCCTCATTAAGCAAGTCCATGATGTCTTTTGTGTGAATTAAGTTCCATATCTTCTTTCTTTATGGTGGCTGGTCAATAAACCATGATTCAGTGTTTGTCTAAACAAAAATCATGATTCAGTGAATCCACTCACAGATGTAAAAAAAAAGCAGCAATTAGGCAGATCCAATTCATCACCTCCATGGAATCACTTTGATCCAACGATCCACGTTGCTCTAGACTTCAGCACTTGCGCATTTAGCACTGAACATTAACGTGATAACCTACGCTAACAGCTGCCCGCCACATGGTAAAGACTGAACTGGCTAGCTGTATGCACAATTGCAAACCGGTTGTTAGGAACATGAACATGGGCGTCCTCCAACTGCGGTCAAACCGACAGCAGTCCATGGCAGATTCATCGGTTGATATTAGCCATAAATAGGGGCCAGGTTTGTTATTAGCACGGCTGGCACGCAGCTTCCACCACCAAACACGACCTGCATGTGCAGGCAGCACACGCACCTGTAATTAATCATGAGAAATCATCTCTGGACTAGGTGGGCATGCATGCATGCAGTTACTCACTACTTGCTCCACTGAACTTACGCTGTCTTCTTGGCTTGACCCATTGAACATATATATATTTCCCTAGCTTGCTCCTGCACGGCTGCACTGGCAGTTTCATGATGCCCTCAACCTTTTTACCAGGCCTCCAGGTGTTTAACTAATCATGTGTAACTTTACCTAGAAACTGCAGTTACGTGGCAGCCGCCCCTCCCTGCTTTTCCATGCTTGCTTCATTCCTTCGGGTAAAGTTTTTGCAGCACACTCCTTAACGAGGAAGGCAGTCGAATCCGGGGCCCAGTTGTCGACTAGTGCCACTCGATTTGCTTGAACTAACCGCACTGACGCTCTTCCCCTGTCGTCTCATTCAGTTAAATACTCCCAGAGATCTGCTGCTTTAATCATGCCAGTTCAGAAAAAAGAGAGAGAGGGGGGATTAGTTTTCTGAAGCAGCAGCGGCAGCAGGCAGGAGTCAAATCAAACAATCAATTAGGCGATCGAGCAAGGACACCGAGCTGGCAAACCCGATGGGTCGAGGGATTACGCGTTAGCAGCTGACTACAGTACCAGTTACAGTAATCAAGAGACGGTCATGGTCAGGGCA